CATTTTTTTTTTCTTTTTTGGTCTTTTTGAGACAGGGTCTCCCTGTAGCCCCAGCTGGCCTGGAACTCACCATGTAGACTGGCCTCAAACTCACAGAGATCCGCCTGCCTCTGCCTCTCAAGTACTGGGATTAAAGGTGTTCGCCACCACACCTGGCTGTCCTGTCTTTTAACTTTAATTATCTTAACAGTTTGAAGAACAAAAGTTTGAAAATTTGAAATCCAAATTATCTGTTTGCTCTTTTGTGGATTTTAGTTTGTATCTAAGAATTTTTACTTACTCTTAGCTTACAGAATTGTTTTCCTTGTTTCATTCTAGAACTTTTATGGTTTAGGTTTTGTATTTACACTTATGCTTCATTTTAAGTAAATTTTTGTACATGGTAGGAAAAAAGTATGGATCAAAGTTCATTTTCTCCACATATGAATGTAAAACTATTCAACACCATTTGTTGAAAAGATCACCCTTCACTGTTCTTTTGCACTGTGGTTCTCTGTTCTGTTGATCTGTTTATCATTATGCCATTGCCTAGTTTCATGTAGACATGCAGTTAATTTGTGCCTTTCTTGTTCTACAATCTAACCAAAGTCATGGTTATTAATTCAAGTGGCTATGGCTTATGAGATGTTTGTGAGGTTTCATTCAGATTCTTTTAGGAGCTAGGCCTAATAGTGATGATTCTTAACATTTTCTGACTCACATAACCTTTTAGTGGATAATCTGGTGAAAGTAATGAATCTGTTTTTCTGAAACTTTCCACACACCCTAGTGTTTCCATTTGTACTTCCAATAGCATACAGAGTCTCTGTGCACTAATTCCATGTTTTGAGTCCCGATTTTGAGATTTCTTCCTTTCATGTCACATTTAGAAAGCCCTCCATTTCAAGATTATGTAATTAAGGAAATAGTTTTTAAATGGTAACTTAATATAGTTTTTCTCCATTCAGTTTATGGACATTTAACTTTATTTTTCAGATTCACTTCTTCAGTCGAGCTAGAGGATGTGTTTGAGTACATCCTACAGACCATAAAGTGAAATGGCAGATGCTGTGCTTATCCCTGTGTTGTCATTCATTACTATCACCAAAGACATTCACACTTTAAGCCTACTGTCCCAGAAGAAATCATGTAAAGAAACAAAGTCAGCTGTGAAAGCACTTACTCAAGCAAAATCCACAACAAGGAAATCCAAAACATTGTGAATGCACAGTAATAGGAAAATACATTTTAAAATTTATGGTACTTCATTAGGTGTCACAAAAAATTTTAAAATGGCAGCCGGGCATGGTGGCGCACGCCTTTAATCCCAGCACTTGGGGGGGAGAGGCAGGCAGATCTCTGTGAGTTTGAGGCCAGCCTGGTCTATATAGCGAGTTCCAGGCCAGCTGGAGGTACAGGGAGACCCTGTCTCAAAAACACCAAAAAAAAAAAAAAAAAGGCATTTATGTTATTCTAGAAATATGAAAATGTTTGCATTTAAATTGAGAAAATGTTAGATTACATTTTTAAAATTATATTTTGATATTTTACATAGAACATATGCATATATAAAATTAGAAGAAGGCTGAGACAGAGGCAGTTTGGATTTCTATGAGATCAAGGTCAGCCTGGTCTACATAGCAAGCTCCAGGACAGCTGGGGCTTCAGGGAGACCCTTTCTCAAAAGTAAACAAATTAACCAACAATAAATAAAGTATAATTATAAAAGATAAAAATCTGAAAATATGCTTAAGTATATGGGTTTGTGAATGATTATTTCTATTATTATTGCATCTTTACTAGGCATTTGAATATGTGTGTGTGTGCGTGCGTGCGTGCGTGCGTGCGTGCGTGTGTGTGTGTGTATGTGTGTGTGTGTGTGTGTGTGTGTGTTAGGTCCCTATCTCACTTCCCATGGCCTTCAAAGCTCGGTTATAATACTGCTTGACATGAACTGTGAAATTACATTCCCTTTCTTTTGGTTTTTTACTGCCTACAATTTCACATCTTGCCAGTCATGCTGCCTTCTTGTTACTTAGTTTTAAATATTGTTCAGTTTCTGACCATTTGTTGAACACCATCTTTCATGAATTAATTATTTAATTATCCTTTTGCTATGATTATTTTAACTAATTTAGGATTCATTTTTCTTCTTAGTAGCCCAGCAAGAGGCTGAAATGTTCAAACGCTATAATGGAACACTTCCATTACCTGGAATACATCAAAGTCAAGATGCATTATGCACCTGTCCTAAGCTGCCCCATCAAGGCTCTTTTCAGATTGATGAATTTGTCAACACTGAAAACACATCAACAAAGATGCAACTTGTGAAGCAGAGACTCGAAACTGTCACAGTATGTTTATTTTTTGCAGTTGAAATTTTAAAACCATTTTCATTTTTATGTCAATATTAACATTAAAAAGTTAGTTAATTTCTTAAAACTAGATTTTCATAAACTTTTTAGTTCTTTTCAAGTACTTGTTCTGAAGTCATTATTTATAATAGACTAAATTTGGATCATCTGTTATGCTGTCTCTTTACCTAAGGACCTAATTGTAATGGAGGGCTGTGAGCTGGACAATTATCCTTGGGTCTTGCCACATGACTTGATCTTCTAGGACAGGAAGAAGAACCAGGGCTCTGTCTGCCCTGCCCAATAGGATTGTTGAGGATAGTGATGTTCATTAGCAGGTTTAGACAGTCTTCCTATGATTCCTCAGAGCCAGCCTGCTAGAGACCACTTTTTTATTGACTAGGTAGTATTCTGACAAGTAATTTCTGCCCATGCATGCAAAGTCTCACAAAGTCTTGCCTGAAAGCTCAAATTCAAGTGGTTCTTGAATGTCAGTAAGCATCAGAGTGAGTGATCTGGCAGGTTTATCAAAGCATTAATTGCCAGGCTTTACCCTTACAGTTTTGATTCAGTAGGTGTGGTATGACCTATGAATTTTCATTTCTGGCAAGTTTCCAGGTGATGCTCTTGCTTCTGCTCAGAGCATTGCATGTTGAGGACAGCTGGTCTGTTTAAGCCCAGCATAGAAGAACATAGACATTTTGTGCCTTCATCTAAACTGGGAGGTTCCTTGAAGGCAGTTCTGATCATTGTTTTCCCCTTTGTATGCCGGGTCTGCATGGCTGATTACACAATTAAATGGCTGGTCTAGGGACAGTCTGAATACTCAAATTTCTCTTTTATGGGAAAGCTATTTATCATTTTGTTTGCATTCTTTTCTTTCTTCATTTTAAAGTGATAAATTCATACCTTTCATTTTCTCTTTCCAAATGCTGACCAGCGGTAGCTTGTAGCACTTGGATCAAAGAAAAGTTAATTAACTCAAATACTAATTGATTATCTGCCACATTTAAGACGTTCCAGAGGAAACAAAGATATAAGCCCATGACCTCAATTTGTATAAAATCTGGTAGTTGATGTCACATATCCAAACAATGTAATATAAGGTAGTCTTTTAGTAATATCTCTACTTCTAAAATGTTCACATTGTGTCTTTAATGTAGCAGTTGTGTAAGTAGGTATGGCAGTGATTAGTACTCTTTATAGACAACAAAAACTTGTTTCTGTTCAAAAGACAGAAAGTATTTTAGATTTTTGAAAGTATAAATAAAACGTATGCAATTTCTCTTACTGTTTTTTTTTTAAAAAAGTATTTCTACACCAAAAACTAAAGTAACTAATTGCTTTCAGTATGTAACTATTGAGTCTCTGCTATAATGCCAAATACTATGGTATAATTTTGTATATAAATGAATGAAAAAGACCAAGAATTCATTAAAGATAATAAGAAGAAAGTACTGCTGAAACCTTTAGATAATTTAAGAAAAAAAAAAAAGAGTAGTCAACAATGTTGAGTATGTCAGGATTAAATTGCCTTCATAGTCAATGAAACTAGTGAGAGGGACATTAGGGACACTTTAGTTCAATAGTGCTATATAATAAGAATACTGCAGACCACTACAAATGAGATTAGCAGCTGTGTACAGCCTACTGAACAGACTAATGTCAAAAATGATAGAATATATTAGCATTTAAAGAGAAGTGATAATCTCCTTTAAGGCAAGAGTGCTATTTTAAAAGATTCTTGTATCACAGGGCTGGGGAGATGGTTCAGTTGGTAAGTGCTTACTGCACACATATGAGGACCTAAGTTCAGTTCTTCAACGCCCACAGTGACACTGGCACAGTCATGCTTGTCTGTAATCACAGCATGGAGAGAAACTGGAGGATGTCTGGAGCTTGTGGCATGCCAGCCCAGTCAGTCAATGAGTTCCAGACTCAGTGGAAGATCCTGTCTCAAAAAAATAAGGTGGAGAACAGTAGAGGTGAATATCTGACATCAGATTCTGGCCTCCATACTTACACCACAGGTGTACATATCTGTCTACAAATGTGCACACACATGCATACCCCCCACAATATTATATTACTTAAGGTAATAAAGGCAATTAAGATAAAACATACCTTAAGAAACAAAATAATTTAGGTTGCATTTTCAATAAAATATTAAAATCATAGTTTTAAAATGATGTCAAAAGATAGTCCATTAATTTGATTTTTAAAAGACATCCTGACTAATGTAAAAGGCATTTGAAGAAGTTTAAAAGACAAATTTCAAAAATGTATTCATTGCAAATGGTGAAGAAGAAAATTGGCACTTAAAAATATCCAATCAGAAAGATAGGCTGGAAACTTAAGAATGCATGAAAGAAGTGACAGGTAGCACCAAGACCCCAGTGTTTAGGTAGTGGCATAGATATACAGGCTCTACTCTGCCTGCTTTATGACTCTTGCACATGATAAATAAGCCTGATTGTCCTCATCTCTAAAAGTGGGGATTCCAATATTCCTCACTTTACTGAATTTTTAAGATGCAATGTTATCCTAAGTGTAAAACTCTTCATAGGGTGGCTGAGACATAGTGCCACTGGAATGGTAGTTATTACTGTTGATAGGAACAGAGGGGTGAGCATGAGATGATTGGGTATGTGGTTGATGAGTGGTGTTAAGAGACTAGAAAATGTATAAGAGAAATTTCCAAAGATACCCTGGTAGAAAAACTGGGCATCTGCATAAAAAGTAGTTCAACTATCCTCAGACTTCCCCAGATGAGCCAGGTAAGAGAACAGAATAACAGCCAAGACAGTTTTTTTCTTACCAAATAGGTAGATATGTCACAAAATTGCAATGGTATCGAGAGTGTGATGAAGTTCTTAAAAGTGGATATACCAGTAGGAAAAAGGAGGAATTGGTCCTGTGTGGTATTGGGTAAACAAATGCAAGTTAACTGAAAAGTGACTGTACATCTACATTCTAGGTCACACGTTCAAATCAGATCTTACTGACTAAGAAGATAAATATGTAGTTAATAACTTGGGAGATGGGCAGATAGTTCAGACACATAAAACCTAAGGAAATGTGCTGACAAATATTTATCTTATGCAAAAAAGATTAAAGACTTGCTAATCTTAAAATGAATGGAAAATCCTCTCCCCCAAATTTTGTTAAATTATCACATAGAATTTTAAATTTTCTTTAATAAATGTATATATGTGTATATATAACATGCAAAAACATATACATGCATACA